TATAAGGCGTTTACCGTCTCAGTGTTTTTTATCTAAGCTGTGAATACAGATACACTGCGGTATTGGTCTATACTAGAACGTTCCTGGGTAAGTAAGAATGCAACATAACGAGGTTTCAATGTTTAAATACTCCTGTGAGATAACTTTTTATTTGGTTTTTCTTGTGTTATGTGAACTTGGTATTAACCTGCCTTTTTTTCCAATTGGTTGTCAGGAATCTCCTTTCTGATTTTATAATTAAGAAATATAAAACGGCGCGCGCGTCACTGTCGTCTGATATAAACACCGTTGTCAGCCAATCAGAGAGCGCGTTATAATATATCAAAAAATTATAATGAAAACGTATACAGTGCATTTTCACTCTTTCCTACCCTCAAATTCTTCTTGGTTAGTCAGGTATTGGTGAACCAGTCAATGAAACGCGAGCAGCCACTTGAATCAAATTTTGATCAATTCATGCACATATATGACTCAATTCATTGTATACCTATGAAATCCTTTTCCGCGGGAAAAGTTCTGTTATGTAGTTTTTCTGCGGTAAAGAAAGTTGAACTCAAAAGATGAAAGAGCACAAGAATGAAGTGAATGACCTCATTTGCCCCAACGTTTTTTAACAAAACTGAGTCGTGAATTTTTTTTATCAACTATCAGTTTTGTGATGCTTGAAGATTTTTGGACCAATATACACACAGTTTACTTATTTTTTAACGTTTAGCAATTTTTGTGTAAGTAGTCCTTTTAGGAAATGAGTGCATTTGTTCCCTTTTTCATTATTTTTATTCTTTTATTATTTGCAGAACATTCAACAAAATGAAGTTTTGCATCTTGATGGTTTGCTTTCTTGTTGTTGTGTCAGTTTTGCCTTCTTCCGCGTCAGGTAATGATAATTCTTATTGCAATCGTTATTTCTTTCCATGATATGATTTTTACGTTCATGATAGGTCATTAAGAATCATTTACTCATTCAGCTGTTGGTTTTTATATCTGATATTTCATATTAATAATTGTTATTATTTATTGCTAATCTTGCAGTTGAAACGGAGCTGGCATCTATACTGCAAAGTAAGCCGATAGTGATGTGGTTGGTTTATTATATGCTTTGTTTATGCATCGGAACAGTATCTTATGAGATAACTTTACTGAAACGGCATTGCCAGAAATTCCGAACCGATATGGTCAGAAATTTGCATTCTCTCGATGAAAATCGAGTGGCGAGAAATGTATAGAGCTTTTAGTCAAACTGACCAATATTCTGACCTTCATCTATAATAGTAACAATAGTAACTAATAAATATGGTTAATTACGTGGGTTTCCTGTGGAAGACCACGTCTAAAAGTCCTAGTGGACTTTTCTTCGTCGAAATGAATATTGGGCTTCAAATTGGTAGCGCCTGCGTTGAAATAGTCTGCCATCTCAGTTTCCATGGGGATGTCAAACTAAACCAACCCGCGGTTACTTTCATTTATGCTAGTGAATAGTTAGGTCGTCCATCTAAATATAGTAGAAAAATTATAGCGGTCCTAGAGCGATTCTTTGAGAATTCCACGTCATTATTTGAAGATTAGATTTTGCTTCACCTTCAGTTTTTAGCTTTTGTTTTATTTATGTCTAATTTTCACGAATATAAAAAATTATAATATAACAATGTTTTTGTTTTCTTGCAAGTTCTGAGACCTTTACATAGGGATATCGCTGTAATGCTGACCATGTTACAAAAAGGTAAGGAATTCACTCAATCTCATTAAAAAAACAGTATTACTAAAGAATGACGACAACAATTTGGTTTACATTTCGTATATAAATACAGATGATCTTGTAAAAAAGATTCCACTTTATAAAACATTTCCAATGTTCCTATTGCCACGTGATCATGAAAATATTCACTTTCCGTTTGTTTAAATTGTTCTAGAATAGAGTACTAAAGTGTGATTTCGGATTCGCTGAAATATCCTTTGAAAAGCGAGTGGAAAAAAGTAGCCATCTACCAAATTTCAGCATCTTACTGCCATATATAGCGGAGATAAGCAATGTTCTGGTCGAGTGACCCCATACAAACGCTTGTAAATTTGGTCTGGTTTACAACGACATGAGCTAGAGCACATTTACAAGCGTGTGTATGGGGTCACCCTGACCCGACCATAAAATCGCTTGTATCTCGCTTGTGAATGGCACTAAGACACTCATATTTAGCAAGGATGCATAACAAATGATTCACATTCAGAATATGGATGACAAGATAAAAACGTTATATAAGCCTTTTTTGACCTTAGAAACGTTTGCCAGGAACAAAATTATTTAAAAAAGGAAGGAGCGTCGCACAATGTTTGCTTGTGAGATTGTCAACAATGTAGCTCAAAATCCCTTTCCCAGGAAAAATTCGTACAAGAACAGTTATTTAGAAGAACAGGCCTCCTCCTGAATACACAAGGGACCTAACAAATGCAGAAGACTTTATTCAATGTGAATGTATTTATTTGGTTTTGGAATGTTATGTGATCAAACTTTATTTATTTCACACATAGGGCATTTTTTTATGTCCTTTCAATAAACACGATTTGGCAAGATCTACTATTAGATACAATTAGACAGTAAATAAAAACTAAGAGTTACTACTTTGATTATGTTTCACAGTCAAAGTGCGATTACTCTATGGACTTTTGCTTAAAATGTGCTTTTTTCAGGTGATAGAGTCAGAGATCCAGAAAACGATGCAACCAAACAACGTTATGAAAATTGGGGAAACGAAAATAAGCCAAATTGGGGATAAGAAAATAAGCCAATAGATGGTGGGAAGGTGAAGCTTGACCAAACATGGCTTGGTTAAATAATAAGCATTGTTAAATGATTAATGTTTATAACTGGTTGTAAGGCCGCTGCCATGAGGCTGATAAATGAAATAATGTAACAATAAAACAAATTATTGGAAGCATATCGAGGATGATGTAGTATTTTGTGATCATATAAAATGGAGGTCTGGGAACATTTGTAGCAGCGCGCGCAAAAACAGTTTGATTTTTCAGTTTAAATGCGTTTTGTTTTTTGTAACGTCTTCGTGTTCCGTGAGGATGACCGCTTAGGTCGAAAACTTGGAATAAATTTTTAAAATGATTCATGGTTGATTCACCAAACTACTTATAAAAATTTTTGAATTATGTTTTCACTGGTTCCCGCGGGCGAGTTGGTTCAGTTTCCAAATATGGAATTCATTTATCCAAATATGGTTAACGAGCGAGCGCAGATAAAAATACAACAATTCGTATGTGGCTTTCTCGATATGAGTTAATTCAACCATAAAATGGCAATGGGTGATGAATTCATATTGGAAGATGGAAAGTTGTCTTAAAAAATGCCGGCTTAACTTGAATTATGACGGAAAATTCTGTCATTCGGACCAGATAAGCCCTAGACTGACGAGAGCAGGACTTTAAGGGAAAACCGACACTTCAGATGCAGAGACCCTCGCTGGGGCTAGAGCTACTTTTACTTTAATTTTGGGAGGAGTTTTCATGAGTTCGTGAGGATCAAGAGAGTAGGATTTTATTTACCAATTAATTGCATAAACAATTGTTCCTGTTAGTTTATGATAAGTGCTTAGTGATTAATAAATGAAAAACAAGCACTCGATTACCTATATGCCGTGCAATTTACACGCGAGCGTGGGCTTTTAATTTTTTCGGAATGTCTAAACTTCATGAAGCCTGACGTTTAGTCAGGAAATACAATAAAGACCGAAATAAGGTAGTTGTCAGAATCGAAAGGGAGGGGAGGTGGAAATTGAAAAGTGGATAGTTACAATTGTTACGACGACTTTTCACAAAAGAATCGAATGCCTGACGTTTAGTTCTATGGGACTAAACGTCAGTCAGTCGAAAAATTTCAGTGCCGTGCTTGTGTTTGAAACTTGTGTCAGTATTATTTCGGTCTTTATGCATTATTTTCCCTTGTTGTATTAAGTGTTGTTTATAGATCGAGAGTGCGTGTTTTATCGGGATATACAGATTCGAGCCGCAGGCGAGAATCTATATACCCGATAAAACACGCACTCGAGTTCTATAAACGACTTCTAGAAGACATTACACGTCAGACACTTATGATCAGACTTTTGGTAGATGTCAACATTCCCTTATTTGGTGTAAACAGCTATTTCAATAAGCGTGTCGACAAGGTGATGGGTAAACAGTCAATTACCCATATTTACCAAGAACGAAAATACATCGATATAATGATTTATCGAGCGTCAATGTAGGTCTGAGTAAGTTATAAATGGGACACTTTACACCTAATATAACTACTCCATGTGCATATATTTCAAACAAACCACCTGAGGCGTGAACACTTACAGATTATGAAGCACTGTAGCTCGCTCTCCGAATATTATTAACTAGCGATAGAACAAGAATTTGAAGACTTTTAATAGTTTAATAACTGATTGAATTTTTACTACCTGTATCCATTCCCAGAAATTCGATACAACATGGCGCGACGCATGCGCATTAATTATCTGGTCGGCTAATCCACGGCATTTTAATGAGCAATAAAATACAAAGAAATGTATGTAATACTTTCGGGGGTGGAAGGGGAATATTGAATATTGAATATCGTACTTGAAAGTCTTTGGAATATTGAATATTTACCTGAAAAATGTACGGAATACGGAATATTTGTAATAACACAAAAAAAAGCCAGAATAGGGAATACTCACTCATCCAGCTAGTTTAAAAAAATTAGCAAAGTTAAAACAGAATACCAGACTCCTCAATATCGATCCTCCGAGTCAATTAGCTTCGGGCTTCCTGTGGTTCGGATTCCTGATCATGCGCAGGCGTTGCTCTACCGCCGACCTTCCTCATACGAGAGTCCATCTTTCGAAAGCACGTAAGTCATGGGGAAACACAAGAAAGAAAGAAAGCGGGAAAAGAGGAAGCGTCGTCACAGGAGTCACAGTTCTGAGCGTAAAAAACGCGAGAGGTAAGCTTGCCTGTTCCTTTTCAGTGATTTGATCGTTTTAATATCCTTAAGTTATTTCTAAGTTATTAAATAAGCTTACAACTATAAGGTATGACTACAACCTTGAGCACGGATGATGACTTAGTGCCGACTGGGGTTCTCTTTTGCAGATCACAGTCGCCAGATTCGTACAGGCAGAATGATTTATCACAAGAAACAGAGTCCAAAAAAAGGTATGGTCAATTTTCTGTCAACTTTTAAACTCTTAAATAATGATAATGAAAATGATGAACATAATTATACTATTTTCTGCACTATTTTCTACACAATTTTTATTGTAATAATATTTCATAATACTGAAGATTTTAAATTATTATTATTATTATTATTATTATTAGTAGTAGTAGTAGTAGAAGTAGTAGTAGTAGTAGTATTATCGAGACATCCAAGGGAGCTATTAAATAGGAACTCTGACAATTATTCTTACAAGAGGGTGCAATTAGGAATTATTATTACATTTTAGCAAGTTCAGTGAAATATTCTTACATTATTATTTTATTTAATATACCTTATAGACATGTTAATAGTTCAAAGTTTTAGGATCACTTTTAAAGATGAATTGTCATTTTATTATTAATTGTGTAGATATTGAAATAAAGTATTATTATTATTATTATTATTATTATTATTAGAGGAAAAAATATTATTATTATTGTTAATATTATTATTATTATTATTATTATTATTATTATTATTATTATTATGATTATGATTATGATTATGATTATTATGTAAAATAATTTGTGAGCTTCTGTTTTTTGCCCTTATATCCTGTTTTCACATTGATTTTCGGCTGCTCTTGTACATTGGAACCCAGGGGGTAGGTAGGCTTGTCACATGTTTTAGGGGTTTAAATCAGCAGTCTGGTATTTTTTAGGGTTTTGAAGGGTCAAAGGGAAAATGGGGCCTTAAACAATACCAGGTTAAAAAATAAGGTCCTGGTCATAAATGTTAATACTCAATAAAATCATCAAATAATTATTGAAATTATCTAAGCGAGGGCAGTTTGCCCAGGTTTATTGTGACTTCATCAGCACAGTCGGTAGTGCAACTTGCAATACAAACAAAAATGTCATCTGGTATTTTTAGGGTGATTTCTATAGCAACTGGGTATCTTTTTTTCAAGGGTGTTTCTTTCAAGCGTCCAATGGGCCTACCTACTTGATATCCCTGAGAATCCCCCTCTCCACAGGATTGAAACCCTGCTGCACCAGATGCCTATTCAGACACCTATTAAGGGACAGTCTTAAGTGTGTATTTTCCATATTTTTAAGTCATAACCTTTTTTGTACGAATTAAATTTTCCATTTTATAGACCTCAATTTTCCATGCTAAAAGTATTGACAGCCATTATATTTCATATTATGCGAAGCAGAGCAAAGCTTCTTGGTATGGTTCATATAGAGTATCAGGGTATATAATAATAGGGTATCAGGGATAAAAAAAAAACAATATTTCAGTTTCAAGTCAAGTTCAAATACTAGGATTCAATTGTGACATTGAACACCCTTGAAACTAGTTGATTATCTAAAGAAACAGTCTATTTTCTATTAGGAAGATGACAGACTTCTTCGCAAGTAGTAGTCCAAAGAAAGCGAACCTTGGCAATAATGCAAGTAAGTAGTGTGGTAATCAATAATTTATCTCATGAGGTTGACCAGCTGACACCAAAACGTTTATATGTTAGTGCATATTATAAGGTGATTCTCACCCATGATTCACTTCTTATGAAATAGCCTAGTGTACCATTGGGGTTCTAAGTACAAAATTAATAACAGAACAGTTTTTATCCTGCTCTCCATGCATATTTTGATACATGGGTCGATTAGTTTTTTTCTGCAGGGCTAATTACAAATTTGACTTGCTGTTTTGGTTGGCCCCTGTAATTATGTATCTAATATTTATGAGCCAAGATGTCCTACCTGCATATACAATCACTAGCGTGCAGCAAGAGTGATCTCAACTATTTTCAGAGATCTAAAAGTCATCCTCGGGGACCCAGGGGCATTTTCCTCTCACGTTTCACTTTTCTCGTGAGTGAAGCGTTAGAGGAAAATACCCCTGGGTCTCCGAGGATGTCTCTTCCCATACGAAACTAGGAACTAAGTAGGTGTTTTATGAAGGGTTATAACTGGCATCAGAACAGGGATTGGAAGGAGAGCCTATGAAATAATCTATTAATCATAAGTATCGATCGATAAGTAGATAAACATGTGAGCCATGTTAGCACAAAAGGGGCCTTATATCAGCTCAGTCACTTGACAGGAATCTAAAGGGGTCTCATATCCTATAGGACACCTTTTGAGTTAACACGCCTCATGTTCTTATTTAAACATTTAACTGCTACCTACAGATACGTCAAATCATCTCATCTGTTTGCCAAGGGAGGAGCAGCCGATATTTTCTCTAGACAATGGAGATGAATTTGGTATAACGTTGCTACTTCAGCCACCTTTGCCACCTCCAAATCCCCCAAGTAGCTACCCACCTAACCAGTGTAGACGATGGTGGGTAAAAAAAGAGAATGTCGCATCAATAAAGCTGAATGATGCTTTAAGTGAGATTAAAGATCTATTTGAATCAGATCATACGTTCACACTTCAATACTTTGATGGCATCCAGCAAATGCCAATAGTTAATGACAAAGACCTGCAAAGCTGTCTGCGTTATTTTTCTGCTAATGCAAGTAACGTGAAATACAACACAAACCTGTGTCGCATATATTTGGAGAAAAAAGTAACCAAGATAAAAGAATGCTTTAAGGCATCTATTCAGGTCGAGTCCAAGAAAGCAGCACTCACACGGGAGGTAACAGATGCAGTGCTCAATCGCACAGATACAAGCAAAGAAAAGGGTAGAAAGAAGCGACGAGTAGAGGAACGACTAGAAGAGTTTTGTGCTCGAGTTCTGAGTAAACATGGAGACAAGGCCAAAGTGATAAACAAAGGTACAGTTCAATGCCTCTATGAGAAATCCTGCAACAAAAACGTTGCCTGCAAAGAGTATAATATCCAGAATTTCGAAAAGCATGTTAAATCGTGCCACAGTTCTAAAACGACCCATGGCGAAGATATAAGAATGCTGCTAACATTGATAGCACAAAACCAGAAAAAAACAGTGCCAATGTCAGAGGAGCCAGAGAGTCGTGCAGAGAATTCCAATGCAAAGAATTCAGATGCAGAGAGTTCAGATGTTGAGGCATTGGGCATAGCATGACTAGAGTCGAAACTAGAACGATATGAAATAGACTTATGTACTGTGGACAAAACGGTTTTAATGATGTGGTATCTCATCGAATCGGGTCAACTTCCTAGAACACATGTTTTTTATGAAGAAGTTAAGGCTTTTTGTAGTCGTGCCCTTTCGCCTCTGTTCTCACAGGAGAACAATTTCTATCAGGAGTTCCCAGCATTAGCATCTTGGTTACAATCTAATCAGTTTCTTCATGGGAAAAGCGCCACTTGCTTTTTTAATGGTATTGGAGGTAACAAACAAGGTCACTTAGCAGACCAAAGTATGACACCTATACAATGGATAAATAGTCATAATTTTGCTGGACTGTCAACGAGAAGTATTACGTCCATGAATCCGAACCACCATTTAACTAACACATTTCGCACAAGCGACTTGCTTCAACTGTTTTCCATGCTTAAGCACTCCCAGGCCATCAGCCTTAAAAAAGAGGGAATGACCGGTTATCTTGTTGTAACTGCTACAGATGCCATGGCAATAAAGCCTGGTCTTCAAATGTCGTCTCAGGTCAATGGACTTGTAGGTCTCAGTGAGCCAGCTATCCTCTCACTAGATGAAATGAAACAGATAAGTGATGGCAAATCGGATGCAGATATAGCCAGTCATCTAAGGAACTGCAAGTTTAATAGCCAGGCACAAGAGGTTTTTGTTACGTCATTAGATGATATTGTGTCGCAGCCTGTGGCGGTTTATTATGGCACATGTCAAGGTGGCTGGCAAACTGTTGATGAGCTGCATTCCAAACTTTGCAAAGTTATCGATGCATGCGAGTCTTGCATTATCGGTAATGAAGAAGATGATTGCAATTTTAAGTGTCAAAGTTGCTGGGAAGAAAAATCTGTGTGTGGCAACTGTTCATCTTTGGGACTTTCAGAGTGGCATCCGGCAACCAGACCTTGTTTGCACTGCTATAACGCGAATAAAGTTTGCGTGAGGCTTGTGCAGCTTGGCTGGACTTCAGACTGTGAGTCGAAACAAAAGGCTTTTATGGAACGTTTAGCTTTGCGGTACCCTGAAACCTTCCAGCTACCAATGCCAGATCCTCCGCACAATATCAAATCCGTCCGATCCGCTGTTTTCTGGTATTGGCTTTTTCTCAACAACCATTTGATAAACGTGCGGATGCTACTTGTTATCAGAAGGGATAGTAATCCTGTTATATCTAAGCCGATGAAGAAAGCGGTAACCTTAAAGGCACTGAAAAATAAAGATCGGATGTCTGTGGAAACTGCACTAGAGATTTTCTCGCCTGAAGTCCAACGTGCAATTCCAGCTGAAGATATTGTGATAACAATAGTCCCAGAAGTGTACACGTTTTGGAGGCAAAACAGACCTGGAACTGTTGTTGGTCCTCTTGATGTGGTTGTTCATCAGAAAACGGGTACAATCTTCTTCACTGATCGGAATGCTAACCAAATCATGATGTGTAATCTGCACTGCCCATCCATGGTTACATCTGTTGCTGGCGAAAGTCGACCTGGTTCACGGGATGGGAAGAACAGTTTGTTCCACTATCCTTCTGGTATGTGCATTTATGAAAACCTTCTGTTTGTTTGTGACAGCTACAATGCGTCGATCAGAGTTGTTGACATATCGAGATTGGTCTCTAGAAGAAGTGGAGATGTTGTATTAGACGAGCCCTTAGATCAAGAAAGCGACACCCAGGAAGACGCTATTCCTCTCACAAGGAAGTTTACGGTAACAAGTACCCTAAAAGTTGTATGCACTTCCGCTACACAGTTACGTAAACCGTTCTCTATATGCACTGGGCGCAAGATGGACCATGATTATCCCGAATTGTATGTTGGTGACATTGAACAAGGGACAGTCTTTAAGCTGACTGATATGGTGGCACGAAATTCCTGCAAGGGACGGCTTCGTAAGCTTTTGACTCTGGAACACAAAATATTACCCATGGGTTTATTGTATTACAAAGAAGAACTGTTTATTGCAAACGCTCAGGTTGACCAGCCTAGCATTCTAGTACTTCATGGTAGCAGAGGAATAATGCTGCGACGTATTGTTTCCGACGCCCTTCTCACGTCTCCATCAGGAATTTGCCGTGTAGGTAATGAACTGTTTGTTTCCTGCGCTAGCCACACCATCGTTAAGCTGTCTTTGAGCGACAGAAGAAACGAAATGACTCTATACTGTGGACAAGGCAATGCCTCTGGCAATCAAGACGGCGTGGTCTCTTCTGCGAGGTTGCATTCACCTCATGGCCTTGTAAATATGGGGTCATCGTTGATTGTATGTGACACTGGAAACAGTTCTGTGAGAGTTATTTCCAACGGACAGCCTTTCAAGGAACTTTCAGCTGTTATATATCCGTACGGTCAGCTTTTCAACCTTGATCACTATCGTGGAGTTCCTAGGAAGAATTTTACAGAGTCATTCCAAATAGTCGACAAGCTTGTAGAGTTTCTGTTAACTTGGGGAATGCAAACACAAGAAAGAACTGGTCGCGTTTCAACTCAGGGACCTGATCAGATTATCACATTATTATCGTATTACACAAGGAAATCATTCCTGATGATGCATGAGACCCTTGTTAAACTCGAAAACTTGTTGAATGAAGTTGGTGCTTCTGAACTGGTCTCTCAAGTTCGCCTGACGGCAATGGTTACCCTTATGGTGGAAAACTTTTTCTCTCTGATGAGAAAAGACGACCCTATGCCTACCCAACTGGAATATGGGACAAGACGAGCTACCTGTGTGAGAGAGCTCCAGAAGCGCATGTACATGGTGACTTCCATTATTACACGGGTCCAAAGAGCTACTACCCTGACAAGGTTATCAACTGCAGACGTCCACCTGTGAACGATGAATTGTTAAATGAGATGGATCGCCAAATGGAGCAGTTGACGATAGAAGACAAACAGGAACTGCGCGAGTTTTCTTCGAGATTTGGCGCGAGTGTAAGGCAACATACTGTGCGAGATAAGAGCAAGGAAGAAACAGGTTGTTTACCGTATGCAGTATCTTTAGATCTACAGCGAAGAGAGCCTGGATCCACGGTGTCTTTCCTTGGTGAGTCAGCATCGAGCGAGGCAACGGACCAGCCACTGTCGAACGCACTGCAGCAATATGAAGTTCTATTTGCGACTCGTGATGTTGTGGCCGTGAAGCATGCAAGACGGAGGGAACAGTTCGGTTTTTTTCTTGCCTTGGTTATGAAAGATCTTCTAGTGAAAAGTAAGTCAGCAAGAGAGTTGGAATTTGCTGAAGAAACGGTGGATTTTCTTTGGCTGGATAACAGCAATTCAGACAATAGTCTTGTCTTCCAAGAAGCGTATAGAGACAACAAGAACTCCCCATACTCCATTATCGATAAGGTTGACATCGATACCAGCACCAACGACTCTGGTGTTAAACTGTACGAGCTTCCACAGAGTGAAGTGGACCGCATCGAACGGAATTTGCAGGGAGGATCAGATAGTGACATTGACAGTGACAATGATTCCACATCTGAAGAAGAAGATGATAGACCTCCGCGCGAATGTTACAGTACCAGGACTGGTAGAGCAGCAACGAGACTGAGGCTTAGCTAGTTTCATTAGGTAAGCCCGTTTCAATAAGTGGATGATAGTTATATTTTTGACCGAAAACTATTATCGACTATCATTAACTCTTGCATGCGTTCAAACGAGCCATGATAATGATGTTACTATTCTCCATGTCAGTGAATCGACAGTGGATATCCAGATCCGCGCGCTCTGATTGATTCCTGAACCAGTAGATATCCGATATCCAACGCTATTTACTGTTTCGCATCGCACGCAAGTTTCGGTGTCAATCTCAGACGTTTTTTCGGCAATATGTTATCCAACTGATCTGGGGAATACTTAATATACTTAAACAATTATGCCCCTCAAGGTCGACGCGTGCTGACGTAAATCACGACATTTTGAACCCTGAGCGCGCTCTATTGTTTTCTTCAAAAGTTAGAGTTAATGATATTTGTCTTCCAAACATGCATACTGGTAATAGTTTATGAAAGTTGAAAATATACTCAACATTCATCGTTTGAAAGGGGCTTTAGACTCTACTTTAGACTCGATCCACTCGAATCCACTTAAAGGCTGTCTTTCCGATACAGATGCGTTAACACTTGAACATTATTATGCTTTTACTATGTTTTGTTGATTAGACATTCCTGTTCTCTCGACTTATTCGGTATCAAACATATTGATTTGTATGCAGTGAATCAGATGTAGTAAGTGTATCGAAAGTTTAACATGGTCGAGGTGGGTAATTAAATGTCGATCATCACTTGTTTTCATTCTTATGTTTGCTTAGACCAATAAAGGTGACAAAACGAAACAAAAAACATAATTGAATAATCATTGGGTTAAGAACTTAACTTCTACCTATAACTTAAAAACTCAAA